TCAGGCTTTTCCTCTTTCGCAGTTTCTAATTCCTCCAGAAGGGGTTTTGCTTGCTCCTCTTTTGGCTTTTCAATGACAATCTCTTCAACTACTTCTTCTGGCACACCTGCCTCAGAAACCCTTGTCTTTCTCTTTTTGATTACTTTTCTGGTAGGAGTTTCTGTTATTTCAACTATTTTTTGTTCCTCCATAAGTTGGACTTCATCCTGCGATTTTTGTATGATCTCCTGTGTGATTACAGTACGCTCCCCTTTTTTCGTTGGTTTCTTTTTCTTTTTTACTATCCTTGTTGTTGGTGTTTCTATCACTTCAATAACTTCGAGCTTTTCTTCTTTTGCTGTTTCTAATTCTTCCACAAGTGGTTTAGCTTGTTCCTCTACAGGTTTTTCGATAACAATTTCTTCAACTACCTCTTCTGGTACGCCAGCTTTGGTTATTCTCGTCTTTTTCTTTTTAATTACTTTCCTGGTGGGTGTTTCAGTTATTTCTACGATTTTCTGCTCTTCCATAAGTAGGACTTCGTCTTGCGTTTTCTGTATAATTTCTTCAGTAAATACAGTAGGCTCACCTTTTCTAGTAGGTTTCTTTTTCCGTTTCACTATTTTAGTTGTAGGAGTTTCAATCACCTCTATTACTTCAGGCATTTCCTCTTTCGCAGTTTCTAATTCTTCCAGAAGTGTTATTGCCTGTTCTTCTTTCGGCTTTTCAATGACAATTTCCTCAACTACTTCTTCTGGTACACCAGCTTTTGTGATTCGTGTCTTTCTCTTTTTAATAACTTTTTTCGTTGGAGTTTCGGTTATTTCAACAATCTGTTGATCTTCCATGACCTTTGCTTCATCTCCAGTCTTCTGGATGATCTCTTCAGTAATCACGGTAGGCTCACCTTTCCTCGTAGGTTTCTTTTTTCTCTTAACTATTTTAGTTTTAGGTGTTTCAATCACTTCTATTACTTCTGGCTTCTCCTCTTTAGCTGTTTCTAATTCTTCCAGAAGTGGTTTTGCTTGCTCTTCCTTTGGCTTTTCTATAATAATTTCTTCAACAACCTCTTCTGGTACACCAGCCTCAGTAATTCTTGTCTTTTTCTTTTTGATTACCTTTCTTGTTGGAGTTTCAGTAATTTCTACGATTTTCTGCTCTTCCATTAGTTCGACTTCATCTTGCGTTTTCTGTATGATTTCTTGTGTTATAACTTCACGCTCACCTTTTCTCGTGGGTTTCTTTTTCTTCTTTACTATTCTCGTTGTTGGTGTTTCTATCACCTCAATTACTTCAGGTTTCTCCTCTTTTGGTGTTTCCAGTTTTTCTAGAAGTGGTNAGTTTTTCTAGAAGTGGTATTGCTTGTTCTTCCTTTGGCTTTTCAATCACTAGTTCTTCTACAACCTCTTCTGGTACACCTGCCTCAGTAATTCTTGTCTTTTTCTTTTTGATTACCTTTCTTGTCGGTGTTTCAGTGATTTCAACGATCTGTTGATCTTCCATTATTTGCATTTCATCTTGTGTTTTCTGTATTATCTCTTGTGTTATCACAGTACGATCACCCTTTTTCGTAGGTTTCTTTTTTTTCTTTACTATCCTTGTTGTAGGAGTTTCTATCACTTCAATTACTTCAGGCTTCTCTTCTTTCGCAGTTTCTAATTCTTCTAGAAGTGGTATTGCCTGTTCCTCTTTTGGCTTTTCAATAACTATCTCTTCTACTACTTCTTCTGGTACACCAGCTTTTGTAACTCTTGTCTTTTTCTTTTTAATAACTTTTCGTGTTGGTGTCTCTGTGATTTCTACGATCTGTTGATCTTTCATTAATTGGACTTCATCTTGCGTTTTCTGGATGATCTCTTCAGTAATCACTGTAGCCTCACCTTTCTTTGTAGGTTTCTTTTTTCTCTTGACTATTTTAGTTGTAGGTGTTTCAATGATTTCTATTACTTCAGGCTTTTCCTCTTTTGCTGTTTGTAGTTCTTCCAAAAGTGGTTTTGCCTGTTCTTCTTTTGGCTTTTCAATAACAATCTCTTCTACTACCTCTTCTGGAACACCTGCCTTAGTAATTCTTGTCTTTTTCTTTTTAATAATCTTTCGGGTTGGTGTTTCAGTAATTTCTACAATCTT